GAAAGGAAGAGAGGGAGAGAAACATCAGTGTGTGGTTGCTTCTCCCATGCCCCCAGCTGGAAATCTGGCCTGCAACCCAGGCATGTACCCTGACTGGGAATCAAACCAGCGACCCTTTGGTTTGCAGGCCGGCGCTCTGTGCACTGAGCCACACCAGCCAGGGCAGGAATCCTGTTTTAAAAGGCTTCCAAGTGATTCTGCTGCACATGAAAGTTTGAGAACAAAGGGGGTGTGGAAGAGTTTTCAAATTGGAGAAAGGGCCTGGAAGTGCTCTTCAGGCTGAGAGTACATGCTGTGGGGAGAGCTTGGCTGGAATTCTGTCCCCTGCCTATTCCAGGTGTACATGTACCAGCTCTTCCGGAGCTTGGCCTACATCCACTCCCAGGGCGTGTGTCACCGTGACATCAAGCCTCAGAACCTCCTGGTGGACCCTGACACCGCTGTCCTTAAGCTCTGCGATTTTGGCAGGTGAGTCTGACCTGGGGGTGTATTGGGCAGCTGAGAGGGTGAGGAGAGGCCCTAACTCTTGCCTTGTGTTTACTCTTGCCCACCTCTTCCCACAGTGCAAAGCAGCTGGTCCGGGGGGAGCCCAACGTCTCCTACATCTGTTCCCGCTACTATCGGGCCCCAGAGTTGATCTTTGGAGCCACTGATTACACCTCATCCATCGGTCAGACTTGCGGGAGGCTGGGAGTGGGGAGTCAGTCATGGCAGTTTTTGAGTTCTGTGTGTTGGCCAGGCTTGCTGAGAAATGCTTAATGTTTGTTCTTTTATGCAGTCCTCATGAATTCTGGGAGGTTCTGCTGTTGATTTAGTTACAGTCTCAGGTTTAGAGGGCTGAGGCGCCCTGCCTGCAGTCACACTGCTAGGACTGGGCAGGGTTGGGCTTTGAAAGCCGACCTAACTCTAGAATCTGTGTTGGCTCTGGAACCTCCCAGTCAGCCCTCTCTTCTCCAGGAGGAAGGGTTGATTGGACCTTGGGGGAATCTGAGGTGAGGTTGTCAGGGTGTGACCTACTCACAGGGCTCTGTGTCCCTCCCTGTCAGTGGGGAGAGGGCCTGAAGGGTTTGGAAGAGAATATGCTTCAGTGGTGTGAGGAAACCACCTGGTCCTTAGGTGTGAACTGGTGTGAACTGGTGTCGAGGTACAGACCAGGAAGGGATGAGAGTACCAGCTCACAGTTGTTCCCCCGGACTGGAGAGTGCAGTGCAGTCAGGCAGACCTGGAGGTTCAAACTCAGGCTCCAGTATTCTTAAACTTTGTGACCTTGAGCAAGGCACTTCTCTGAGTTGAGAAAATGGGCCTCTTGGCCCCTCTCAGGATGACCATAAGGGACAGAAGGGTTTGTGAGGGGACAGGCATATGGTACTCCTGACCCTCCCCCATTCCCCTTCAGATGTGTGGTCAGCTGGCTGCGTACTGGCCGAGCTCCTGCTGGGCCAGCCCATCTTCCCTGGGGACAGCGGGGTAGACCAGCTTGTGGAGATCATCAAGGTGAGGGCAGGGCCTGGTGGGCAGGGGTGGTGGGGCTGAGTGACAGGAGTCTTGGCTCAGACCCCTCCTTTTCCTGCAGGTGCTGGGAACACCAACCCGGGAACAGATCCGAGAGATGAACCCCAACTACACAGAGTTCAAGTTCCCCCAGATTAAAGCTCACCCCTGGACAAAGGTTAGGCAAGGCTAGGGCCTCAGGCAGCATGGCTGAGTTCCCCATCGGAGACCAGCTGGTCTGGGGATATGGCTACAAGGTCAAGGCTTGGGCGCATGTCAGTGACTCTCATCACATTTCAGTTAATAGAATTTTTAGGAATCTAGAAGTTGAGAACCCACAGTCGATTCCATAGTCCTGTTTTTCTAGTGGGGAAACAGATTTATAGCAGAGCCCCGACAGTCATGGGGCCTGGTGGGCTGCTTCACTGATACAAACTGAGCTTCCCTGGTGGTTAGGCCTCTGTTTTCTCATTTGGAAAGTGGGTTTGGGGGAGGCGGGCAGTGACATTGCTGCCAGCACTGGGGCAGTGAGGTGCAGGAGCCTGCCAGTGCCCTGGGCCTCTCACCCTTGTGACTTCTGCCCTTCCTCACCAGGTGTTCAAATCTCGAACGCCACCTGAGGCCATCGCACTCTGCTCCAGCCTACTGGAGTACACACCGTCCTCCAGACTGTCTCCACTGGAAGCCTGTGCCCACAGCTTCTTTGATGAACTGCGATGTCATGGAATCCAGCTCCCCAACAACCGCTCGCTTCCCCCCCTCTTCAATTTCAGTCCTGGTGGTGAGGGCACAGCCTGGGATCTAGAAAGCTGAGGGGGTGGGTGACAAGGAAGGCCTGGGCATGGTAGAGGCCCCCACAATTTAGGGAGCCCCAAACCTGATTCACCCATGCCTTGCGATCTCCTGTGCTAGGTTCTCTGCAGTTGTTCCTTTGAAGTATTTGGTGGCTACACACGTTTGCCAAGAGCTGGGTCCCTATTTAGTTCCCTTTTCTGACCCCAACTGGGTGTGCAGATGCTCTGCCCTGCCTTCTGACCAGGCAATGTCCATTCCTCTCTCTAGAACTCTCCATCCAACCATCTCTCAATGCCATTCTCATCCCTCCTCACTTGAGGTCTCCAGCGGGCACTGCCACCCTCAACCCATCCTCACAAGGTAAGTCCGGGTAGAGCAGCATTTTTCAGTGGAGGGGGGTGCTTTTTGAACAGCCCCTGGGTTTCTGTAGGCACTTAAGAATTGCCGATGGTTTGAAATACAGAAAACATATTTTACAGCATGAGAATGGTCACTTGTGTTGGGCATTATCACCTATGTCTGTGTTGAAATGCTAACTGGAAAACCCAGGACGTGTTTGGCTTACACAAACAGTTGAATTTGTTGCCCACATTTAAAAATTGGGGCCATTTTATGTACAAATCTAGATTTCCTGTTTCTCTTGGGGAAGAAAATCAGATGGGACGGCAGGGCTGCCTCTCCCCAGGGCTGAGTCCCAGTTGTCCCTTTTGCGGTGCGGCCTGGCTCTCTGGTGATTCGCTCAGTGACCAACCTGGCCTTTTGGCATTTGAGTTTGCAATCCTGGACCAAAAATGACAGCTTTCAATTTCTGATGTAGCATCTCACACGGACTTCCTGCTTATGGGGGGTGGGGATTGAAAGGCAAAAGGCTAACTAACTATCTGCTCCTCTTTCCTCCTCAGCTTTAAGTGAGGCTCAGACCAGCCCGGAATGGCAGCCAACTGATCCTACAGATCCCCTCACTAACTCCTCCTGAGGGCCCTGCCAACTACCCTTCTATCTGGGCGCCCCAGGTGGGGCTGGGAAGGGGGGTGTGGCTCCTGCCCTGGCTGGGCCCCTAGACTAGAGGGCAGAGGTAAATGAGTTCCTGTCCGCTCTTGTCCCTCCTTCACCAGCCTCACCCCTGTGGTGGGCTTTTTAAGAGGATTTCAACTGGTTGTGGGGAGGGAAGAGAAGGAAGGATGGATGGGGTCAGGGGCATGAGGACCTCCTATCCCTTGGCCCCTCCCCTTCCCCCAGGCCTCCACCTCCTCCAACCCACCCCCTCCTCCTGTGTCCCTTGTAAATAGAACCAGACCAGTCCCTCTCCTCTTCCCTTCCCTGCCCACCCCCGCCCCCAGGTGTAAATAGATTGTTATAATTTTTTTCTTAAAGAAAACGTCAATTCGCACCGTCCAACCTGGTTCCTTCCTCTCCCATAGCTGTGTCCCCTCCTGTCCTCTGCCCTAAGGTCTCCTCCTTCCTCTCCCCACCCTGGAGGGCTGGGGTAGGGGTGGCGGGGGGATCCTGATGTCTTAGTTTCCACAGTAAGGTTTGCCTGTGTACAGACCTCCGTTCAATAAATTATTGGCATGAAAACCTGTTTCTGTCTGGCTGCCTGTTTCCCTGGAGGTGAGGGAGGTGCCCAGTGGGAGTGGAGCGGGCTGTATCTCAGGCAGGGGATGGGGTAGAGTGAAGCCAGGCTGGGCCATCCGAGGCCTGAATCTGGGCCGTGGCTTAGGGGCCCAGCCTTCCTGTGTGAGGATGAACAGGTCTGGCTTATATGCTGCAGAGGCCTGCTCCCTGGACCCAGCACGAACCATCTGCTTCCACCCAGGGAGGGAGAGAACTGGGGACCAGAGAGGTCGTGGCCACAGGGCATAAATGGCAGGGTCAAGACTTGAACAAAAACCTGCCTCAGTTCCTGCTGCCTGCTGCTTCAGGGTCTGGAGGATACAAAACTTAGTCTGATATAGATTCATTGGGCATGCGTGGGGGCAGAGGTGCTGTCCCCAAGCCCTAGCAGATCCCCGAGCCTTCATTTCCAGGTCTTGAACAGGGAACCAACCTGAGCCGCCTCCTACGGATGCTGGGAAGTGACACCCCCGAAAGGCTGGTGCAGAGAGCCTGGCTCTACCCTCACAAGATATGCTAAGCCAGATGGTGGGGCTCCTAGCAGAGTGAAAAGGTACCTCTTCCATGTGGTGCCAGCTGTGGCCAGGGCAGAAGCCCCAGGGGAGGAAGAGGGTCTTGGGAGGAGCAACTGACGTGCTTCACTGGTCAAGAAAGACCTAGAGGAGTTTCGAACGTTGCAGAGGGAGTTCAAGGACCGTTCTGTGGCGTTTGGGCTTTTGTCTGCTCAGGCCAGCCCTAGGGGCCATCTCTGTACTGCTCAAAGCAAACCCTGGCTTTCCCTGCTGAACACCATCTGGGTATCACCTGTTTTGGGTTACAAAGACACAAAGCAAGTGGACTAGAGTAGGGGAGGAGGGCTGGTCTGGGCAAGAGGCAGGCCTTGGGGGTCCTGGGGACCCCTTCCCCATTGCTCACATCTGGTCAGCTATGAGGTCACCGTCCCTTACTGTCCTCCCACGCCCTCAGCCTCTGCCAAGCTCTGGCCTGTTCTCTCCCTCCTGGACCATCTTCAATCTCCCCCAACACCCCACCTTGACTGCAGGGAGCCCTAACCCCAGTTAGGACCCACCCCTTCTCACACTGCCCCACCTAGCCCAGCTCTGAAGGCCTGAGGTCTAGCCCTCCCTCCCAGACACACAGCCACAGCCCTGCCTCACTCTGCCTCACCTGTGAGAGGACCTGGGTCTGTGGAAGCCTGGGAGGAGCCTGCCCCTGATATATGGGCCTGACCTGCCATATATCACGTTTACAGACTGGATTATCCCGTAAAGGAATCTTTGGAAAGGTTGGGGATTCCTTCCTGCTCCCAAGACCACTGACCTTCTGAAAGACCCTTCAAACACCAACTTCTCTGGGACACCAGCTCACCTTTCCTCCAGTTACAATGAATCCCCTAGGCCCCCACCTGTGCAAAGGTTTCACTGGTTCTGGACACGGGCTGAAGGGACAGGCTGGGTGCAAAATCTCAGCAATGCCTCTGCCTGTAAGACCTTGGGCAAGTCTGCCCACTTTCTCATCTGCACAATAGGGATAATTCTTAGATCACCTCACAGGCCCATTGGGATCACAGTGGTAACTGGTGCCTGCCACGGCAAGGGACTCAAATGTTCGCTGTCACTGTAATTATGAATAACTGGATGGTCTCCAAGTAAGAACTCACCCTCCATGCTGTCTGCCTGGGAAGTTCTCCTCTCCTGCTAGCAGATTCCTACCTCCTCTCTAAGTCTCTGACTCCTGACCTCCCACCACTGAGCTTTGTTCCCTGCTCTGGGGCCCACTGTCCACGTGCATCCTCACCACAACCCTGAGGAACCCAGAGCTGTAATCCATCTGCCCTCGGGCAGGGCGGAGGCCTGACTCGTCTCCAGCCCCAAGCATTGCGCAGCACTCAGGAAGGACACCCCAGATGAAAGAATCAACGAAGCACACTTAGTAAGGCCATCTGTACTTGTGCGTGTTCCTCCTACCACACTGCAGGCCTCCTGGGCACAGCCCGCGTCTGACTCGGTCCTGGGTCTCCAGCATCGCATCTTCACCTGAGCCCCACCTGGGAACCTAGAGGTTTCCTTCCACATCGTTGAAAGTGAGATTAAGGAAGCCCAGACAAGTCAAGTGTGTTCCTCCTGGGCAGCGCCGCGTCCTGGGTGCTGAGGTCCAAGGAAGCTGTAGGCCGGGGGAACAGCAGAGGACCCGAAGACATATGGGGCACGTACCTGAGCACACAGCCCAGGGTCACACAAAGAACCCTGGCAAACCCTGCTTTGTGGGTGACCTGGGACAGATCTTATCACGTCCCAAGGCTTCAGTTTTCCTTCAGGCAGAGAAAGGAGACAAGAGAAACCTGGCAGGGCTGTTCTGAGGAGTTAGTGGGTAACAGGCTAGGGTGGATCCTGGCACCCAGTGGGTGCCAGAGTGGCTTGCCGGGGGGTGGTCCCCTTCCTCCCCAGAGGTGCTCATACTTGCTGTTGCAATCAAACTGTTTTATTATTGCTCTTTGTGGTGTCACACGAAAGCTGTGTCCAACTGCAACAGCCCGCTCGCTTCGCTGGCTCCCAGCGCTGCCTGGCACAGCTGCAGTGTGTCCTCAAGTGCCAGGGGCTGGGATGTCTCAATGATGGCGATGGTCTCCCCAAGCTCAGTGCACATGATAGTCTGCTGAGGCTGGGGGGCCGGGGATGGAGCGGGAGGTGGTGATCTGGGCTGCAGGGTCATCATCCGAGTGCGGGCATGGACCCGCTGATGCAGGCGCAGGCCCGCCATGGCACGAAACCAGCGGCCGCATGTCCCGCAGTAGTAGGGGCTCTTGTTGTAGAGACCAGTGATGGGGAGGCGGGGAGCACGAGCGAAGGCCACCGGCCGCAGGTGCAGCCTCCGGTGTTGCTGCAGGTTGGAGCTCTGTGTAAACCGTTTGCCGCAGTCTAGACATTGATAGGGACGCACCCCTGTGTGGGTCAGTTGGTGGCGACTGAGATTGGCCAGAGAAGCAAAGGTCTTGCCACAGGAATGGCACTGGAAGGGCCTCTCACCTGTGTGTGTCCGTAGGTGGTTGTGCACATGGACCAGCTTCTTGAAGCCCTTGCCGCAAACCCCGCAGCAGTGTCGCCGCTCGGGGGGCCCGTGGACCGTGCGGCGGTGCCGGGAGAGGCGGGAGGCTGAGGCAAAGGACTTGGAGCACTGCGGACAGGGCAGCTGGGCAGGCGGGGTAGGGGACGCTGGTGGGGGTATGGGCTCAGCTGGAGCTAGAGAGGCTGCTGCGGTGGCAGGAGGCGCCCCGCTCTTGCCGGCGTGGGTGCGCCTGTGGTAGAGAAACTTGGTCATATTGCTGAATGTCTTGCCACAGCGGCAGCGATGTAATGGGTTGGCTGTGTGGGCCCGCCGGTGGGCCACCAGTGTGAGTTCTGTGCTGAAGCCGCGACCGCAGTCCACACAGAGATAGCGGGCTTCCCCACGGTGCAGCCTCAGGTGCTGCTCCAGGGAGGCTGCTTTCTTGAAGACCTTGAAGCAGGTGGTACACTCGTGTGTGCCACCAACATGGGCCCGCCCGTGAGCCAGCAGCCGGTTTGCTGAGCTGAAGCAGCGCTGGCACTGGCTGCAGCGGAAGGGATGGGTTGTTGACCCTGGCCCATGGGACACTCGCCGGTGTTGCCGGCGTGCCCCTGATGAGGTCCAGTGTTGGTGACAATCCCCACAGCTCTGGGCCCGGCTGGCTGTGGACTTGTCGCCTCCTATAACATCATCACCAACCTCTGCTGCCAACCCTTCCTCCTCTGTTTCATCATCTTCTTCATCCTCTTCATCTTCCTCTAGGCCATTGCATTCCTCTTTTTCTAGGGAATCAAAATGGGTTCCCTGATGCTCCAAAAACTCCTCAGGGGTGGCACAGAGGGTACAGCACTCAGGACACTCGTAGGGCTCCATCTTGACTCCAGGTGGATCAGGGGGTAGAGGTGGTGGTGCTGGGGGAGGGGGAGGTGGCGGCACTGGTGGTCCAGCTGCTGCAGTAGAAAGGTGCTGGGCCTTCCGATGAGCCACCCACAACTCAGGTGAGGGGAACAGCTGCTGGCAGTCCCCACACTGGTACTGGATCTGGCTTGCAGACTCCTGGAGGTGGGCGTCCTGGTGAGCCAGGAGCTCACCACGGGAGAGGATGAGCTGGCTGCATTCACCACACTGGAAAGGCCCATCCTCAGTACCTGGCACTAGCTCTGGCTCCGGGCCAGCATCCTGGGTGGTCAGTGCCTCCTCCTCTGTTACAATGGGTACATGCTGCTCCTGGTGTGAGATGACTTCCTCCAGTGTGTTGTAGAGGTTGCCACACTCAGAGCACATGAATTGGTGGTGCTGGAAAAAGAGGGATGAGGAGAGGGCCTCCCCAGGTTTCATCTCAGCCACCTCTGCTGACATCTCTGTTAGCTCCCTGAACATTGGTATTGACATCTCCATTGCCTCTGGTGACATCTGTGTCGACATCTCGGCCATGTCAGCCACCTCAGCCACCATGTCTGCCATTGTGGGGAAGGCAGTGCCTGGAGAAGAAAGGGAGCTAGTAAGACACCAAGAATCTAAAAAAGGAGAAGGGACGTCTCAGGAATTCCCTTGCCCATCCTGTTGCTCACTAGTTTCTATCAGTCACTGAGTCTAGATTCAGTGTTTATGCCTCGGTCTTCAATGAGCCTGTGAGTCTGAAGCTGACACATGTCCCATGACACCCAGACATCTGCAAGAGAGAGACAGCCTTCCTCTGCCTGGCCTCTGATGTTGCCCTCCTTACCCAGAGGGCCAGCTGCACCGCTTCTGAGAACACATGTCTTTTCGGGCCCCTTGGCCTTTACGTGTGCAGTTCCTTCTCTCTGCAGCATCTTTCCTCCTTCTGTATGGAGACAGAGATGCAGCAACACAGACTAAGAGCCCAGGCCCTAGAACCAGACTGCTCTTGGCTTGAGTCTGAGCTCCACCACTTACTTCCTCTCCCTCAGATTGTTTTCTCACTTGAGAAATGGGGCTAAAAGTAGTACTGATCACAGTGCTTGATAAAGTACTAGACAAAACTACTTGTAGTTATCCAGAAATGTTTTTGGACCCTAAGTCCTGATGCTGCTATTTATTCTTCCACCAAGAAAGTCCTTTCCTCCTCTTGTCTAGCAAACCCCTCCCCAGCATTTCCTCTGTGAAGGCTTTTCTGACATGCCTACGGTGGCTGGTGGCCACTCCCAGGGTTCATGGCATCCAGTGCCACTTCTGTCATTGCAATTATCACTAACTTGGGATGAAGTCTCTGTGCTCCCCACTGAGCTGTAGGCAGGACAGGTCTGATTCATTATAGGACTGTTGTCACCAACATAACCACAGACCAGGGACAGGGATTTAACTACTGCCCTTTCCTCTATTGCCCTATCTCTAGATGTGCGGGCTCAAGCCAACCCAGGGCCCTTCAGCAAATGACTGCTCCCCCAAACGCCACAAGCATAGGAGTAAATTTCCCAAATTCAATTTTCATTTTCTCCATCTCTTCTTCAACTCATCTGTTAGTGGCAGAAGGCTAGTGGAATTCAGTTTATAGCCTGGCTCATACAAATTGCTCATATTAAGCTGCCAGAGGGCAGAGATTTTTAGTCTGTTCATCAATGATATATTTTCAGTGCCAAGAACAATGCTTAGCACGAAACAGGCACTGAGTAGATATTTAGTGAATGAATAATGCTCCCTCAGGAAAGGGAAGCTCAGAGCGTTTAACTGTGCCTCTTGCACCTTCCACCTCTCCCACCAGACCAAGTCTCCTATTAGACCAGAACTCCCACAATGGCAGCCCAGCACGGGGCCCTGCTTCCAGTTTGCACCCAAAAAAATGCACCTTGAAGAAACAATTCACTAAAAGGCCAGAAACTAAACTTTCCTTAACTCCCTCACTAATTTTTTAGTTGACAGGGCCATGCACACAATAGCCATTCAATAAAGGATCTTTCTGGAACTAGTCAAGCAGGGGCACGAGAGTTCAATTTTTCCTTGTATACAGCCTCACTCCAGAGAACTCCCCTAAGGATGAGGCCCAGTGCCTGGCTTACACAAAGCAAGCACCCAGGAAATGTCTCTCTAGAAGGTAGCCCGAGAGACCTAACATCTGGACTTTCTCTTTTACATTGCCCCCTTCCCAATCTTGGACTATAAACTACTGGGGGAGGAATGGAAGCTTTCTATACAGTAGATCACAAGTCTTTCCAAGAAAGAACTCACCAGGGGCCTGGAAGTTCAACTTTTCCGCTGCACAGCTACACATCCCTTTTTCTCTGACCAGACATATCAAGTCCATAAGCTAAGAGTTCCCTGCAAGGAATCGGGGAACGGCGAGCTCAAGCGTTGGGTCCTGCACTTCGTGGTAGCTCAATGCTTCAGGGCACATAGGAAGGAGCGCTCTCCTTCCACTCCCGCCATAATGTAGGCCCCAAAGCTCTCTGACCTCCGGGTCCCCTTCGTTTTCCCTGCAATCTCTCCGTTCCCCTAGCGCTCTCTTTCCCCGCCCGCCCCGCGGCGCCCCTCACCGATCTCTCTTCACTCCAGCAGACGCCGCAGCTCTTGACACAGACCCTCTGCTCCTGGCGTGCGGCACCCCTCACTATCCACACCTCCCATTGGGCGGCGCCCTCATCTCTGATGGCCAATCAGAGCCGGCAGCGTAGGGCAAGCGCCCTTGAGCCTGCGTGCTGAAGCTCAGGCGGGGCTCAGTGAGTTTCTCCACGCACACAACTGTGCCCTGTGGGCTGGGCTCCGGGCTTGGAGAAGCGCTTGCGCAGTTCTTCTGGGTGCTTCTCTGCCAAGTCCGAAAGTTAAGTGGAGAGAAGCGGATAGGCAGTATTGGAAAGTGAGGGCCCTCTGAGTGGACTGGGAGCAGTTGATTTCATAGCTGAAGAGACTTTGCATCTCTGAGAGCTCAGCTTTGGAGCCAACAAACTTGGAGTACTTCCCCTCTCTCGGCCTCACTGTCACTCCTGTGTAAAATGGGCTTGAATCATATTCAAGGTTGTTGAGGATACTGGCTGAAATCAAACACACAAAAATGCTCAGCACAGGGCCTGATACGCTATGGGTGCTCACTAAAACCCATTTAACACATATATACTCCTTTCCAGTGTGTTTTCCCTTTCCTCCCCACCCTTCTGTTGATTTAATGATATTCACTTATTGGGCACCAGCGTGTGTCCGACCCAGAACTGGGTTTCGCGAGAGTTTACAACTGCCATCAGAGGAAGGGACTCTCCCGAGGTCACTGCTGCGGTCCCAGCAGAATCATTGCTTGCTGAGCCAGTACCAGCCAGGACCTAGCTCTCCCGCCTCCTAAGGGGAGCTAATTCCGGCCATGGGAACTGGTCCAGGAGGGAACCTGTCTTAAGGCAGGTATGGGCCCTGACCTTGAGTCACCTAAGTGGGGGGCGGGGTAGCTGCCATTCCCAAAACTCCGCCTTGATGAGGACGCTTATACTCGCAGCCTGGACTCTCTAGCTCTTCTGATAAGACGCCCACTCTCCCAAAAAGAAACTAATAGGTTCAGGCTAGAGAGGGGCTATTGGGAGGTCCTGTGACCTTGGAGGGCAGACCGGAAGGGATTATAGGGGAGGGGGGCTTGTGGTGGATGCTCTCAGGAGGTGCACTGTCGGGATGGAGGGGTCTATTGCAGTCAGGAAGGAGGTACGGGTTCCTAACATGAGATGCGGGAGTGCTCGTCTTGACCAGGGGAAAGAACTTATAGATGGGGGTTGAGAGTAGTGTTGGATGAGGAGGGATTCCAGTTGAGATCATGAGATGGCACAGTTGGGTTGCAAGTTTCTCGTTGCCATTAGGAGTAAGGGGCAGTCGATCTAAAGGAAGAGCGTCTAAATTCTGATCATAAGGGCCTGGTCACTATTCAGAGCCAGGAGAGTTGGTCGTGATTGTGGTCTTTGCCATGGGCAGTTGGGGGGCAATGGTACTGTGAGAGCCTAGATCGTGATTAGAGGGGATTCGGAGTAGATCCAAAAGGTCATGACGTGGGGTAACAAGAACCCAGAGATTTCATCACGAATTGGCAGAAGCACCTCAGCAATCTTGTACAAACTCCAGTCCACACGCATAACCGCTCTTGCTCTGCGCAGGCGCAGCACAGGACAGCTCAGACGCCACGGTTGAGGGCGGGCCCCAAGGGGCGGGACTTAAGCGCCTCACTCTGCGCTTGCGCCTAAGGGGCGTGGCGGTCGCACCTGCGCGAGTTGGGGGAAGGAGGAGGGGCGAGGTGACGCAGGCGTAATAATAGAGAAGGTGCCAGAAAGATCCAAAACAAGTGGCTGCGGCCGTCGCCCAGGAGTCATCAGACGCCGTATTCCGGTGAGGATCCAGAGAGGCTTATGGGCGACCGGTGGCGGGTAGACGAAGCAACCTGGGTGCTGGGGAGAGGGCGGTACAATGTGTACAGTGCGTTGGGGTCGGGTTCAGTCAGCACCACTTGTATGGGGGGTGAGAGCTGGTTTGGTCGGTCCCATTTGTAGGGGCCGGGGGGTCACTTTCGGACGGTAGCATTCGGGTGGAGCCGTGGGCCTGATCGGATAGTACCGCTGGACGGAGCCCAGAGGCACGTCCGGACAGTACTAACCAGAGTCAAAGGTCAGTCGTTAAGGTGCCCGGGGATGGGCCCCCAGGCTTGTTCAGACCGAATCACCTGGGCGTTGGGCCTCTGCGGCCCGGTCGGAGGTCCGGTGAGGTCTGGCGTCTGGACTTGTTACTAGGGGACCTTGGACGATACCATGCCCTTCGGGAGGGGGCAGCTGAGATCTCTGGGGTGAGGGGGTGGCTCTGCACCGCAGGTCGGGAACTGGGGGACGCGACTGGCGAGGTTGGCGTTTGGGTCCCCACGTCGCTGATCACTGCCCCCTCCCCGCTGAGTGGGTTCTAGGCCCTGGCTCGAGCTTGTCCACCCCCTTCCCCGGGTATGGCGCTGTCTGGGTCGACCCCTGCCCCGAGCTGGGAGGAGGATGAGTGCCTGGACTACTACGGGATGCTGTCGCTTCATCGTATGTTCGAGGTGGTGGGCGGGCAGCTGACTGAGCGCGAACTGGATCTGCTGGCCTTCCTGCTGGATGAGGCCCCCGGCGCCGCCGGAGGCCTGTCCAACGCCCGTAGCGGCCTGGAGCTGCTGCTGGAGCTGGAGCGCCGCGGGCAATGCGACGAGAGCAACCTGCGGCTCCTAGGGCAACTCCTTCGAGTGCTGGCCCGGCACGACTTGCTACCGCACCTGGCGCGCAAGCGGCGCCGGCCAGGTAAGGTTGAACGGGAAGCTGATAGACTTCTGGTGGGGAGAGGGCCTTGCTCCTCATTTGAGTCTTCATGGTGCCCTGATATGGACAGGGCCGAATCAGAAAACCTGTGTCTCATTCACTATCCCTTCCTCCCAGGGGGAGGAACACAAGAGGGAAGAGGCAAGGCTTTAAGAGGCAAGCTTGTGGAATTTGGCCAGAGCAGTAATGATGTTTGTGGCCACTGTTTATGGAGGGCTTGTTTCATGCCAGACACAGAGTAAGCCTTTCATTATAAACTATCACTATATACTCTCCTGGTAATCCCATGAGGAAGTCCGTTTACTCCCCACTGGACTGGGAAAACAACAGGTTCAGAGAAGTTAAGCAGCTTGCTCACATATGAGAAGTGAGTCCTTGGTGCCTGGCACGGAAGATACAGTGTGTCTGGACTGACAAAGTGCTTATTAGTGAGGCATACATTAATGGGGGAATCAGATAGTAAAACAGATAAATAATGAATTTCTGCATCTGGATATAGAAAGACTAAAAGTAATGGTATATAGAGAGAAGGGAGTCCTAAGTGAGGGGAGGCCCCCTTATTACTGAGTAACCAGTCAAGACCTTTTTGAGGAGGCGACATTTGAACTGAGGCTGCGATGCTGCCACTGTGAATAGAAAATTGCAGGGAGAGGAAAAGGCAAGCTTTGAAACCCTGAGGCAGGACTGAGTTTTGTGTCATTAGAGGCCAGTGTGGCACAAGCAGAGGGGACTGAAGAAAGGGCAGAGAGGTAGGTGAGAAGCCACATCACAGGCTTGCAGGTAACACAGCTAGAAAGTGAGAGCTAGGATTCATACTCGGCTGGTTTGTGTCCAGAGTTGATGCCCTTAATCCTTGTGAGGGAAGGACAGCAGTCTGAGAAGGCCAGGAGCTGGGAGGGTTTAAGGCACAGGAGCCCCATATGTGCATAGGCCTTGAGCTGTTGAGGCTTTGTCAGGATTACTTGGCAAGGTGCAGGGGCTAGTTTGGGGAGGGGGATTGTGAGGCTTCCCTTCCCAGAATAAGCCCATGGGATTTGGATAACCAGGGGAAGGGCAGCACTAGGGAATAACTGACATCGCTTTTGGAAAAATAGGTCTGGAGGTGAGACTTTGGAAGAGAAGATTTGGGGAGCCTGAGGAGAGGCCTGTTTATTCCTTGGGGCCTCAGGGAGAGCTGGGGGCAATTGATGGGGGGCAATTGATGGCGGGCAGCATTGCCGGGATCCTGACCATGACTCAATTTACAAAATAACTCTGACTGGTTCTTCCTTTGTATTGGGAGGCATTGAGCAACACTGGGCAGGAGGCATTGGAGAGGGAATGAGTCTGGACTCTGACCTCTGGGGAACTCAGGCACCCGGTGGGGCAGGTGTTCCTCTCGGGGGGTGGGAACTGAAGGCTGGGCCTGGGAGGGGCCAGAGGCTGTGAATATTTCTTTCCATTTTTCTCTCCCCGCAGTGTCTCCGGAACGCTATAACTATGGCACCTCCAGCTCTTCTACAAAGAGGTCGGAGGGCAGCTGCCGTCGCCGTCGGCAGTCTAGCAGTTCTTCAGATGTTCAGCAGGACCAGTGGGAGACAGGTGAGTCCAGCTGGGTGGGTGTGAAGGCAGTTTCCCTCTCTCCCTTCTGAACCCTGATGAACTGCCCCCATCTTAGCCCATCAAGAAAATGGCACAAGGGGTCATTCCGTCTCATTTTTGCTTTGTTCCTACAAAAGCACATGTCCAGAAGCAGTGTATGAAGTTGTTTCTAATGGTTTTGTATTTCATCTAAGTGGCATCACATCATGGGTTTATCGTTCTTCACATGGCTGTCTTTGCTGGACATGTTTCGTAGATTTGTTCCTGTTGAGTAACTAATTGGTATTTTTTTATTGTCATACCAATTAATAATTTATCCAATCTCCCCCAGCCTGGTTTTTTAATTAATTATTCAAACAGAATTTCAAACATACAGAGAAATTAAAAGATTAGTACCATGAACATGTTCCTCTCTTCCTAGATGCAGTAACTTTAGATACATTTTGCCACTTTTTGTTTTATGTGTAGATATGTAATTCTTTTGTTGGTGAACTCTTTGAAAGTAAGTTCCAGTCATCAGGACACTTGACCCTTAGCAGCTGTCTGTCTCCTGATAATAAGGAGATTCTTCTCTACCA